ATACGGGGGCAGGCGGGGCGGGGGGCAGGCGGTACGGCGGACGGGGCACGCATCGTTCATGCGTTTACGTGAGTTCTGTCACACCCCGCCTAAGGGTATTAGTGTTCTGTGGTCACTCCATCCGCGCCCCGTGCGCCGCCTCCCACATCCAACCTGATCTCGTCGCTGAGTAACACAGCGTGAATATTACAGAACAGAGCCGCACGTAAAGTGTTATATGATGGATGGAAAGAAAAGGTTAAGCGGGGCAGAGTATCGCAAGCGGGCTAAAGAAAAAGAAGATAAGCAAAAAGATGTGATTAGAAAAAGTCGAAAATTAGACGATTTCTTTGGAAAACCTTCTACAGATGCTGAAGATCATGAGAAAAGTACAGTGGGTGTTCAAATTATTATACTCAAACCATGAAATAAGATTTTTTAAAAAGTTTTTTAAGTTTAAATTTCTTTAAGTAATAAATTTAATCTGTTTACTGGTATTATTTTTTTCACTAGAGCTTATAAAACTATTTCTGAAAATAATTTAACATGTTTTTGGTGTAAAAAGTTAATTTAATTCAAGTTTTTTTTACAAATTAATATTTTGTAAAACCACCCTTTTGTGCAATAACTTCTTGAAGTCGACGAGGCATGCTGTCTATGCAATTTTTTGATATTGTTTTTAATTCTGGGGTGTTAAACCAAGCTTTGATTATCTCTCTCTCTCAATCAGTTCTTGTTTATTGGTTATGACTTTTTCTTTAGCTATTTCTTTTTTTAATGCAGCCCACACATTTTCTATGGGGTTTAGATCTGGAGAGTTACCACTCCATTCCAACACCTTTATCTGATGATCATTTAGTAATTTTGTCACTTTTTTGCTTTATGACATGGAGCTGAGTCATGCATAAACAGGAAATCCTTATTAGGAAACCATTCTGATGTCTGTGGGATCAGTTTTTCTGACAGAACTTTAATGTACTGATCCTGTCGCATGGTTTTTTCCACTATGTAGAGGCGTCTGTTACCTTTTGCACTGATAACTCCCCAGATCATTATGGATAGTGGATGCTTCACTCTCTATACAATACAGGCTTCTTTGAATTTCTCATTTGGTCTCCTACGAACAAACTGCGTATGGTCTTGCAAGATCTGGATACTCGACTTATCAGAGAAGCAAACCTAGAAATCCCAAACATGATTAATTCACATTAGTAAAGACATGTCCATACAGTGATACAATACAAAATACGTTTAAAATACAATATATTACTTTATGCCAGTCTTCTGCAGTCCAGTTGTATATTTTTTTGCAAACTCTAGGCATTTCAGACGCATGGCAGGAGTCAATTTCGGCTTCTTCAATGGTCGACGGCAGAAAAAGTTTTGTTTCTTCCATCTTCTACGTAACGTCATGTCGGACAGAGTCACTCCAGCCTCTTCGAGAATATCTCTAATGACTTCTAGGTTTATTCCGATTTTCTATGGTTATTTGCCGAATTTTTCGCTCATCTCGAGGCGTAGTGATGCGTTTGCGTCCACATTTTCCGGAATGTTTCGGCACCATGGACTCCCCTTGTTGCACAGCTTTACTGATATTACGCACTGTAGATTTGCATATTTCTGCTATTTTCCTTTGAGAATATTTACAGTGTTGTAGCAAAGTCTTAATTTCAGTTTTCTGTTTTGGAGACACGTCAGAACGCTTCCCCATCTTCAAATCTATTGAAAGTGAGGTTATGTTGATGAAAAAGACGAATTTTAAAATAAAATATGTATTAGACAACAAAAAGCAGCGAAATGCAAGAAGAATAATAACTAATTACAAAGTAAAACCAATAAAACATACCTTTTACTATGTATAATATAATAATAAAGACACAGAGAGCACTTGCTTACAGAAATGCAAAATTGACAACGAAACAAAATGGCGGCTATTACAGTGTTTCCTAGTTAAAAGTAGACAATTTTAGTGTTGTAAACTTTAAAGCATAAAATTATTAATCATTTTCAATTTATTTGATTGAACTAAAACCGTCGTTGTAAACTATACTTGATTTTAAATACTAAATAATCGGAATAAATATGTTGAGTATAATAATTTGAACACCCACTGTATATGTAGCGGTGCTACGCCAACTGATAGTGCTTCAGTATCTTCAAAAGCAAGTACGTTGGTAGTTTTGGCAAGTGGGTCAATGGAAAAAGCTGAAGAAGTCCCACCAGTACTAAGAGTGCAACCCAATCCGGACCAGAGGCTGTGCAAAATTAGCGACGATCCAGCCAAATGGGCAATCGACGATTTCACGCGTAATTACATTTGTAAGAACGGAGCCAATCAAAACATCAAAAACGATTTTCCCAAGAGTGAACGGATTTACAAACATAAAGCACGTCACTTGTCCAAACACTTATTCGAACGTCAGCTTGTAAATGGCGAAAAAGTTCCGCGTAAGTGGCTAATTTATTCCGAAAGTACTGGAAGTGTTTTTTATGGGCCCTGTCTTTTTTAGGGGAGAGGTAGTTCGACAAAAAGGAAGGTTTTAATGACTGGAAAAAATCTAGGTATCTGAGTTTGATTCATTCTTAGCCAAGCACATAGCACGCTATGGGAATCCAGGCTCAGGACATATGAGTTATCTTTCTTCAACAATTTGTGAAGAATTCATTCGGCCTTTGGGAGAAAAAGTTTTGAAGACAATTTTAATGGAAATATTAACAGCTAAATATTTTTCTCTGATTATTGACTCGGCACCCGATATATCCCACGTTAACCAGCTCACTTTTGTAATCAGATCTGTTCTGCCTCATGGATCACCTGCAGAACGTTTTCTCAGGTTTATTCCCAACATAGGCCATAAATCACAACGAATAACAAACGCTGTTACCTCAACTTTATCTGAATTTGGGATTGATATTTGAAACTGCCGAGGGCAATCTTATGACAGCATAGCCAACATGGCAGGCATATACAACGGCCTACATGTTAAAATAAAAAAAATTATCCTCTAGCCGAATATGTACCTTGCTCAGCACACTCGCTTAATTTGGAAGGTAAATGTGCAGCTGAAAGTAGTCAAGAAGCTTGCTCGTTCTTTCGTCTACTGCAAGTATTATACAATTTCTTCGCGACATCAACTCAACGTTGGGGACTCCTTCAAGCCCATTTTACTGTCAAAAGTCTATCAACGACTCGTTGATCAGCTCGTGCAAAAGTTTATGCAAATCGTGGGATGAAATCCATGGTGCATTGGTCTCCGTTGAAAATTACACACAACAGAAGAGAGCCGTTATTTGCGAAGCGAGAGGTATTCGTATGAAAATGGAACGTCTTGAAACGGCATTTATGGCAGTATTTTGGGGATATCTACTGGATCGCATGAATTCCACAAATAAGAAACTCCAGAGTGTGGAAATTGACGTTTCCATTGTCATAGAACTGTATAACACACTAATACTATTTATTAGCGAAAGACGTCATAGTATCGAAGAATTCAAAAATACGGTCAAAAACCTGTGCTTTGTACAGGAATATGAAAAATATTTTCAACGCAATCGAAACCGTAAGCTACCTGCTGGTTAGACTAATACAGGTGAAGTGTTGCAACTAATAAATAGCCGATAAAGCCTTAGAATTACTACTTTTTTTGGTGATAATTAATACATTAACAAATGAACTCCAAAAAAAGACGGGACGCTTACAAGGAACTTCATAATAAATTTTATTTTATAACCAAGCTGACGAAACTAAGCACCTCAGAAGTCGAAGAAAAAGCCGAAGCATACAATTCAATTCAAATTTCTACGGACATAGAAGAAAATTTTCCAGAAGAATGTCTCCATTTTCGTACTCGCAGTTTAAACAATGAGGATCGGAGCAGTACTGTCAGTTTGTTGGAATGGCTGCGAACTGAAGGTCTTGAAACCATTTACCCAAATGTGGATATCGCTCTGCGTATGTGTGTGTGTACTCCCGCCAGTAACTGTTCAGGAGAAAGATCATTTTCTTGTTTGCGACGAGTTAAAAACTATTTATGCACAACAATGACAGAGCAAAGATTAAACGACCTTACCAACATAGAAGCGGATTATTTAAGAAAAATGGATTGCGTAGAGTTAATTAATGATTTTGCTGCACTTAAGTGTAGACGCGTTTTGTAACACGTTATATACTTATATTATTTTGTTTGTGAATGACGAATGAAATCTGAAGCTATAAAGATATTTATTTTAATATGAATCACATGTTACATTGTTGCTGATAGTTGTTTTAAATAAATAATATAAGAAGAAAATTATATCCGCTCGTGGAGAAATTTTTCTTCTCATATTATTATTTAATATTTTTTTCTCTTTATTAGGTTCACCAAAAATTGATAACACTAACACATCAAATTAATACAATTACTTAAAAATATAAACACAAGTGCAACAATTACTTAAAGAAAATAACTTTATAAAAAAAACTGAAAAAACAATAAGTTTTTCTTCAACTAAAATTAAATACATATTTATTAATAAGATTAGTGCTGCATAAACTAAAAAAAAAACGTATAAAAAAAACTAAGAAATCTATTTTAATTTACGCTATTAACTTATACATTAACGGAGACACTTAGAGAATGTTTTGGGTGAGTCAAAGTGAATGTCGATTAGATCGCTATATCTATTAATAACTTTGCAGAACCTGGCATAAGGAGAATTCTTTCCCAAGACAGTTCTTCTTAATGGTGGACTAAGTGGTGCAATAGAGCTGCGAGGTAATCTCGCAATAATAAAAAAAAACAATATCAGCAATAAATCTGAAATTAATTAAAACATAGTTTTTTGAAACCTATTTACAGTGACGGTACATAATAATTGTATTGTATCTTGTTAATTCACGACAAACACTTATGAAATAGGGGCGGCTTATACTACATAGCTTAGGGCGGCCAAGACTGTACATTCGCCACAGGATAGTGGATACTCTTACACCGCACTACACGGTTTCCATTCTATTGTTCTTTTTCACAGAAACTAACCTGACACGTGTCCTTGCCCCCTTTCCTCTCACCAGCACACACCTGGCTGTCACTGGACGGCCCGTTTGGAAGTTTCCTCGACTTGCCCAGCACGCTGTAGCACTCATCTATGTCCCATACGTGGACCGAGACGCTCCGGAGCTCGAGGGATTGATCGCCACCTAGAATGGAAATTGTTTTTTTTTTTAAAAATATGCTTAAATCATATTCACAACTTTTTCTCCTTGACTCCACTTTAAAACGAAATGAAATATTTGACAGATTTTATGGAGGAAATTTAAATTGTTAAGAATATATATATATATATATATATATATATATATATATATATATATATATATATATATATATATATATATATATATATATATATATAGTGGTTAAGGGGAATATTAGTAATGTTTATAGCATTGTTAATATTCTTTTTTTTTAAGTTAAAATATACAAATTAACTTAAAAATTAAGAAATTTAAACGCGCATTGATTATGAGCTGTGATTATTGTAGAGAATGATCCTGGTGACCCTGATCAGGGTAGGAAGCCTAAGAAGGATAAAATTGTTAAATTACTGTATTGTCATCAGATCTTGATACGAGTGCAAATTTTCGCAAATTACATTACTCTTCCAAACGACGGACCTGTGCCTCTTGTCCGCCCCGCAGCTGCTCTTCCAAACGACGGACCTGTTCCTCCTGCTGCTCTTTCAACAGACGGGCCTGTTCCTCTCGTCCGCGCTGCAGCTGCTCCTGTAGCATGGCCATCAGAGCACCTAAGTCAGGTGCTGCAGATGTGGGAGCTACTGACGAGCCGGCCGCCTCCGTGGCTGGCAGGTGGCCCTCCGACGTCTGCGGCGTTGCACCACCAAACCTCCTCTCGTCCGTCTCCAGCTGACGTTGACTTCGGGTACGGACACCCTCTGATTCCTCCTTAGGTAAAATCGGCATGATTTAATCCCACTTCTGACACCAATTGTTACGAGCTTGAGGTTCGTGACAGTAAAAATTGCCGATAGAATTACCTAAATTAACACTTTAATTCACTTTACACTAATTAAAGTTAAAAACACTAATAATTAATCACACTGATTCACTTTATTCCGCTCTGAAGCTTCGCTTGTCTCGCCAACTTCAATACTTCCTCGATCGCGTATTGCAGCGCCTTTATATAGGGCTCTTCCACGAAAACATCCAGAATATTCCAGAATATTCAAGTAAATACGCGCGTCAACCGACCAAGCGCAGAAAGATCGAGTGTGGGGGCTTCCGGAAAGCTTAGTTCTTCAATTCGATACTAGATGGCGCTGGCGGTTGAAAAATTAGTGATGTCATTTTCTGCAAAGCTCTCTCCTCGCTCTGTTACCCGACACTAGATGGCGCTAGTGCCAGATGTCAACTTAGCCGCGCAACAATATATTTATAATATTAGTTGCTTAGGGATATTAGTGACCTGTACAATAGTCATTCAGCCTAATACTCTCTTAAGCACATTGTATGTAAATCTATATGTGATGAGAAGATAACGATTTTTTTAATTACTAGCTGCTGCCCGCGACTTCGTACGCGGATCCTGTTGCTTATGCCAGCGACAACGGGGTCGTCAAAATCGAAGATCTGAAACTTCTGATGTTGAATTCTAAGAGCCCGGGGACGGGAAAACAACGTGATTCGCGAGTCGATTCGAGACGTTCTAGATCTTTCATTTTTGTAAGTCAACAGGAAATGCCCATCAGACTAAACAACTTTTGCTAACACGTCATTCCTATATATGTTATAGCGTCGCTGGGCTTTGAATGTAGTGTAACTCCTTGTGTCTTATTAAGTTAATATATTGGTAATATTGTTTAGATCACGTTCACATGAGGATTAAGTACTTACAGAACAAAAATAGTTCAGCGCAAAGCTTCCGGGTAAACTATGTTGAAAGTTTACCTGTCCGGCACGTGAACATAAAAATTTCTAGAAATGCTAACCCGGGAAAGAGCGACGTACCAATGACCATATGCGAGAAACAACTGACACCAAGCTCTACTCCAGCAACACGAAAAGTCTGTCCTTGAGCCTTATTAATTGTCATTGCATAACACACTGATACTGGGAATTGCGTTCTTTTAAATTGGAATGGAAAATTATTTGGTATTATGGGAATTCTGGGAATAAAGACGGTTTCTCCTGCACCGCAACCTGTTAAAATTTGAGCCTCGATTATATTATGTTGCAACTGGGTTACTTTTAGCCGAGTTCCATTGCAAAGTTGTGGTGGTCTTAAATTTCGGAGCAGAATAATCGGAATGCCAATTTTTAAACAAATTTCATGAGAAGGAAGTCCGGGAATATTTAAAGAATTTAAAAAATTCTATCGGGTAATTAGTGGCTACTTGTTCATCGACCATTCTATTTATTGAACTATAAACTTTGCTTTCCCCCTGTATACTCGACAGTATTTTCTTATTAATCTCAGATGCCTGGTCATTGCGAGGAGCGTACATGTCAACAATAAACTGATTGAGTAAGCCACGAAAACGTTGAAAGTATACAAATCCATTCCGTCTCACTTGCATGTGGTAACAATAAAATTGAAGGCATGACATCTTTTTATTATAATTAGGTGCGCCTGTACGCGGATCAGTTTGGTATAAAGCGAAATTATAACCATCTTCCCCTCGAGAGCATATCAAAGGATATTGCAAACTGTCGTAAGCCCTGTAGGTTTCGTAAATACGTTGCAAACGATTGTCTCTGGAACGGATAACGATATCACGCCTACCACATTCCTGGTCGACTAATACTACAGCAACTTCATTCGTGGATGGAACGTTATAACGCCCAGGGTGTTCCTGAGTTGGACGCCTATCGGCATTTATAACAATGTATTTAAAACTAGAGCTAAATAAAAAAAGTTTAATAAAGTAATTAAGTTAAAGTAATTAAGCTAATACTAAGAAATATTTAAACACTACCAAAATAACTAATACCTATTTTATGAAATAACAACCAAAGAAATCTAAAAATAAATTATTAAACGTAAGAGTAGACTAAAAGTCGCGTTGATAAGCACGGTTTGTTAAAATCAATTATTGTCTGTCAATAAGGTCGAACACTCTGAACGTCTATTCGCATCAACAGCCAAATATTGTATGAAGCTCGCGCTTTTTTTTTGCGCCCGAAGCAAATATGGGCAACCCTCCGGAAAGCGGGGGGAGGGAGGTGGGGAATGCTAAAGTTGTTCAAAACGACTATAAATCAATAGCACGCTACAGACTATAAACTATAAATTTCTAGCGCGCTATTAAAAACGCTATGTTATAGCGCACTATTTATAAGAAAGCGTGTAGGAGGCCGGTAAGCGCGTTAAGTTTTACAGCACGTTACATTACATGTCGTCCATTGGATAGATCGCGTGCCATATAAGAACATTATTTCGTAATAAGTCGCATTTTAGACTAAAATAAAATAAATAAAAACTAACTGTAAAGAAAAACCAATGCACGCTTTTTCATACTTTTCAGGCTTACTACTTTCTATAATCCTAAAAATATTTTTAAGTCATGTACTTTTTAAAATAGAAATAATTTTATTTTTGGAACCGAAATAAAATTAATTATTTTTTATTATAATTGATGTAAACATTATTTTAACCGTAATATAAATTATAAATCAAATAAAGGTGTATTTAAAAGTTTATTTATTATATTTATAAAAAAATATTATTTACATACACTTTTCTATCTATTTTATTTACATTTAAAAACATTAATTAGGCTTCTTTTATCACACCTATGTCCTTTGATCACATATGTATACAGTATGCACTAACTAAACAACGTCTAACATTGAATTAGGTCGCACGCGACGTCACACGTCCTCTCCCAACAGCGCTGCTGCTAGAAGTAATTGCCGCTAGATATTAATTCTTAATAGCGCCAAAGCGTCATAGCGCAGTAGCGCCATGGCGACTACTTACATAGCACGCGCTATGCGTTATGAAGAGATAGCGCGCTATAATATGGCGCTATGCGCTATATTAACCACCATTAGGGAATGCTCGTAGTATACCACGCAGCCGGCTGCGTGGTTATGTGGAGACTTTTACCCACTAAACCCCACCTTTTAGGGACTGGCTTAACGGTCTAACTAGAGATCTCTAAGCCGTATACGGACGCGACCCTCCTTGGCAGAAGGGAGGGCGCATCGAGCTCGGACTCCCCGCCTTTTTATACCTCCCGCCGCGAGCCGCGTCGAGCGCGGCGACCGTTACACAAAAATAATCCTTATAGCATGATTCAGTATTCACACGCGATGGCTTATTAGCGTATTTCATGTATAACTTTGGTGTTTCTATACCGATTTCTATGATTCTTTTTTATTGAATAGATAATAATGTTAACTTTTTTTAATTAGGGATGAGTGAGAGTGTTATAAACGTAAGAGTAGACAAATATAATCAGAAAGCTCCGAACTGCTAAGCTATCGGGAGTTACACGTGTTATTGTGAATCAACCATAAAATATAGACATATGCTGTCGTGGGATATTTTTTATATAATTTTAAGAACATTTCCGTTATACATGATTTCTGTGTAGCTTTAACCATTAAGGCTGCACACGCGACGGAAGCTTAAAAATGGAGTAATTTCTCCTGTTTCCTCAACATTTCCCTTCACTGCTCTGCTCCTATTGATCGTAGCGTGATGAAAAGTGTACTATAACCTGCCCAGGAGTATGAAGAATGATTGTACCAAGTTTCGTTAAAATCCGTTGAGTAGTTTTTGTTTCTGTAACGAACATACAGACAGACAGACAAAAATTTTACTGTTTGCATTTTTGACATCAGTTTCGATCACTAATTACCCCCTGATAGTTATTTTGGAAATATATTTCATGTACAGAATTGACCTCTCTACAGATTTATTATAAGTATAGATTACTATTATACTAGAAACCAAAACACTTTTTAAAACTTTTTTTATAGGAGAGAAGTCAAATTAGCACATGGTTCATTTGATGTTGACTACCGCCATACTATCGCCGCCCATGAACAACTGCAATGAAAAGACAGGGGAATTGCAGGAGTAAAGGAGTAAGCTCTTTTCTTGAAGGTTCCTGAGTCGTATCGGTCCGGAAAAATCGCCGGTGGGTAAACTATTCCACAGAGAGGTCGTACGCAGAAGAAAACTCCTTGTGAAACGTACAGTGTTGGACCGCCAAGCATCCAGATGGTGTGGATGGTATCGGGAGTTTTACCGCGATGTGCGTGTATCCCAAGCAAATCAACCACAATATACTGCATAAACTAAACTAAGTTATGGAATAAAGAAAGAATTTTTGTGTTTTGAATGTGTGCTTGTACCGTCTATACAATTTATTTCATTTCGTTTTCGTTTTAATGTGTAATGGTGTACAGTAAAGAATAAATTGAAATCATACGTGCTAGAGCCACTCTGCGGCTATATTATGGTTATAGCACGAATGGGTCGGCTCTACAAGGGAAGGACCACGCTCTCACAGAATACCAGCGTTAAATAGCAGCTTTATATTGCTGTATTTTGTATGGTGAGTGTAGAGATCTGGAGATCCTTTTTTTGGTGGAAACGAGGTATTCCTTCTTAGTCCTCAGAGGTGACAACGTATCTGCGTTTTGATTCTTAATCGAGGATAGATGTAGATATCTATGGGCCACAGCATCCACTTACCATCAGATGGACTGTGAGTTCGTTTGTCACCCTTACTCTATAAAAAATTGAATTGAATCATACCAAATTCAGTCCTGCCCCATCCTGTAGTGATGACCGACTCGCGTGGTGGTGGCGGCACTCCGAGGCACGCTGGCTTGATCACCTCCGAAAAGCTGCAGTTACAAGTCTTACGTTATTATAAAAACCTACTATTGGTCTTAACAAGGTGTTTTTTTTTATAGAATTAGGGGATATATGTTAAAAAATATATTTGTAGAATAAGATAAACAAAGATCAGTACTTACGATACTGGGTTCGCTAATTTGATCAGTGCGATGTCGTAGTACGACCTGGGCTGCTTGTACTTGGGGTGTCGGATCACAGCTGACACCTTCACCACCAACGCCCCAGGATCGTCCAGGTAGGAGGAACCCAACTGTACAACCTTGGGTGTTCCCCTAAAAACCAAAACATTGTTACACAGATCTAAATGTACTGGAATCACGATAGAAATAAAGACAGCTTTTTATTGTATCGTATGTTTAGTAAATTATATTCTATATTTGATACAAATGGTTATTTTTAACTAAAGTGGAAAACGAACATAAGTCTACCTGAGAGTTAATTGCCATTGCGGTTTAAGGAACCTGCAGTTAACTTCAATCAAAAAAGGCTACATGGGAGTTGTCATCTCTAAAGACTAAGCAAGAATGCCTCACAGCGTGTAAACTGGTGTTTTATATTCTTAGCATCATAGTATTCAGCATTTATTGTTTTTGGTTGTGGCTGATCTGCAGTACTTAATTTATTTATTTTATAAAACTTTACTCTACACTAGGATTTTCTCCTGTGCCGTGGAGGCAGTTTACAAACATAAATTGCACAAGGACAAACACCCAGACCCGGAAAAATTACTTGTAGGCCGTACAAATACTTGTTCCGTGCGGGATTTTTAAGTCATTGCTATATGAAGTGAGCAGTAAGTCATTGCTATATGAAGTGAACTATGATCTCGTATGCCACTCTTTGATGAAACAAATATTCATCACCATTTAGTTGTATACGGGAGGGTAGAGGATATTCTTAATCTGATAAGAACTCAAAACAATAAAAAAGAATTGGTTGTTTACATGTATTTACAAAATAAAAATCTTTATCATATATATATATATATATATATATATATATATATGTATGTATATACATATATATATATGTATATACCTATGAATTCGAATTTCGAATTGTTCATGAAAATAAACCTGTATACTTTTTAGAATTTTACCATTTTTAAATATGGAGTGGACGCTGTTACCGACCGTGTCGCAGTTATTGCGTTGCATCGTTGCGGTTACGCGCCAATTCAAATTTTTAACATACTGAATAATTTGAATATAACCAAAAGATTCGTTTATCGTACCATCAAACGATACAATGAAGACTCTAGTGTAGATGACAGGTCAAGAAGTGGTCGCCCTCGGTCTGTTAGGATTCCAGCAGTGATAAAAGCTGTGAAGGCGCGAATTCAAAGAAATCCCAAACCAAACGGTTGGCCCTTCAGATGGGGTTAAGCAGAACCACGGTGAAAAGGGTGTTAAATGAAGACTTAGGGCTTCGGGCATATTGGAGAAAAACAGGACATCGTTTGAATGCTCGTCTAATGGACCTGAGACTAAAGAGATGCCGCGCTTTGTTGAAGCGGTACGCGGGAAAAAAATATCGGGTAATTCTTTTTTTCGGATGAAAAAAATTTTACCGTAGAAGAGAGCTACAACAAACAAAATGATAAGGTGTACGCACACAGTAGTGAAGAATCGAGCAACAGTATTCCGCGTGTCCAACGAGGTCATTTTCCATCCTCGCTCATGGTATGGTTGGGAGTTCCTTATTGGGGCTTAACAGAGGTACATTTTTGGGAGAAAGGTGTAAAAACGAATGCAGTTGTGTATCAAAATACAGTCCTGACAAACCTTGTGGAACCTGTTTCTCATACCATGTTCAATAACAGGCACTGGGTATTCCAACAAGATTCGGCGTCAGGTCATAGAGCGAAGAGCACACAAGACTGGCTGGCGGCGCGTGAAATCGACTTCATCCGGCACGAAGACCGGCCCTCTTCCAGTCCAGATTTGAATCCTTTAGATTACAAGATATGGCAACACTTGGAGGAAAAGGCGTGCTCAAAGCCCCATCCCAATTTGGAGTCACTCAAGACATCCTTGATTAAGGCAGCCGCCGATATTGACATGGACCTCGTTCGTGCTGCGATAGACGACTGGTCCCGCAGATTGAAGGCCTGTATTCAAAATCACGGAGGTCATTTTGAATAAACTATAGTGTCATAAGAATCTATGTTTTGTCAAGTTCATTTTGGTATATAAATGGTTACATAATGAATAAACTTGTTTCAATTATTTTATGTTAAACATGTGACAGAATTTATGACCTGATTATATATATATATATATATATATATATATATATATATATATATATATATATATATATATATGATGATGAATGGATGATGATGATGATGAAGTATATAGCTTGATTCTTCTGACTTACGTAAGTAAATTAGTAAATTATTTATTTTACGGTGATCGTGGTGATTACACAAGATCGTGGTGATTAAATAATAGCATAAACAGGCTTCACAAGTTTGCAAGAAATACTTTGCCCTAACACTTAACTATTTTACTCACCAAAAACCTTTCGCAATGTACGTAAAACTTTTGGAACATGTTTGCATGCACCACGTACATTGACTAAGAGGTATACTACCATCGATCGCCGACCAGGGGGTTACTCAAGAAGCGCTGACGGCATTAAAATTGAGAGCGGAGAATAACCCTGATAAAAAAAATTGTACGTTGGTAATAGATGAAATGATAATTAAGCAATTGACAGAATACCATGCTAGCAGCCAAAGTCATTATGTATACAACTAAAATGTCTTTTACAACTTGCATGGTACTCCGTCAATTGTTTTATTTTCAATTCATCTATCACTAATATACAATATAATTTCTTGTCAGGGTTACTCTCTAGTCTAATTTTTAAAACAGTAACGTTTTTTTTATGTAGCCAAGTCGGCCATCAATCGTACTATACCACTTGTGTATAATACCGTATGTGATGAAGGCAGACCAATTTCAAAACTTTTTATATTTCGCACATACTAGGCTTTCGTTGAATAGTAATGTAAATTTAAATCAAAACATCTTTCTGGGGAATACTTAGCCCCAGGTAGATGGCACCTTTTATTTTTAAGCAGCTGTCTGCTTAAAGTTCACTTTGTTAAACTATTATATAGTGTAAAACTTATTTGTTTTCCTAATTTATTAAATATTTTCCAGATACTTTATTTAATAACCCTTGAAAATCAACAACTTTTTTTAAATAGTGGTTTTGTGATCGAAGCCTTATAAACTAAAACAAAAACTTGGTTAACACCATCTAAGACGATAAACTGATAGGACTTTTCTTTTCACAAATCTGATTTTTAAAATAAGTTAAATAAACCTCCTACTTTGATTTGTTAAATGTTTTAAATTGTATCTTGCATAATGTAAAAGTACCCGGATGACCGAGCTTTGCTCGGTTTTTTTAAATTACATTTATATACAAATTACATGAATAATAGTTTTTGATCTTATTGATATAATAGAAAAAACTGAACTGGTTATTTGAATAAAAAATCATGAGTACAATTAGATTAATTAAAATTTTTGTATTTTTAAAAAATACTTAAAAAAGGGCTCGAAATAATAGATTTTCGCACAAAAGAAGGGAACTTGAAAAAAAAGCAAAAAAAGTCGGACTCAAGATGGGACGCGATTCACGGAACACAGATATCACGCCCGAAAAACATCCTATCTGAGCTATTACGATCGTTAGCAACTTGTCAAAATTTACCTTCTTATATTGTAGCAGTTTTTTTATTGCCTGAAAACACGGACAAAGGGACATTTTCTAAAAATAAATCCTAGCTAGATCGATTTATTGCCCCCGAAACTCTCTGGACACTAAATTTTATGAAAATCGTTGGAGATTATATATATATATATATACAAGAATTGCTCGTTTAAAGGTATAGGATAGGATAAACCTGTAGCAAAATAATAAACTTATCTAAGTTTTTTTCCGAAGATCATGTCTAAATACTTTAAAAAAAGAATTTCAAATAACACCTTGGTATTATATATCAATGTATTACTTATAATCAGATAAAAACTTTGTGGACTATGGTGATTTGTTTATCGATAAAAACATCGACATAGTCCACGCCTTACGTTGCTTAGCATTTAGACAGCGCCATCAGTGTATCGACACGTGTACAATTTGATGGTAAACGCGAGGAACACAAACACAAATGCTGTAGTGTGCGTTTATAGTGACGCGATTTAATTTTGCATTTGTAGTTAAGTATACAGTTGTGTGTTTTTCTTGCGCCCCCCTGATGTTGACAGAACTTTCGTTTAGGAATTAACGCGCATGGCCTCTCTAGTTGGTTGAATACTCAAAGAGTCGAAGTATTATTTCGTAGTCCTTATTTATAGTTAAAATCGATTTAAAGTATAATAACATTTATTACATTATTCATGTATTATCAACAAATAGAGCCGTGGTAGCTCAGATGGTTAGCGTTCGCTGTAAATTTCACAGTACGCAAGCAAACCAGTTTCGATCCCCGCCGGCACCAACGAAATTGTTAATTGCAATTTTAAGTGCTGATTTACCAGGTGCTCGGCGGTGATGGAAAACATCGTAAGGAAACCTGCATGTCAGAGAAATAAGAAAAAATATTTCGAAGACATGTGAAGTTTGTCAACACGCATTGGGGCAGCGCGACGGACAATTCCTTGCCCTAAAACCCTCTCAGAAATGAGCGGAGGCCTGTGCCCAGCAGTGGGACGTATATAGGCTGTAACTTTACTTTTTTTACTTTTTATGAACGCAAGGCTTTCGGTGAAAAATATCGAAATATTGATATTTTCTCACAAAATTATGACTATTTTTTGTCGATATATCTTAAGGTGTTATATTTATTTTATAATTTAATAAACAATATTATAATTTATGTGCTGTTTTTCTTTCATCGTAAACGTACAGTAATAATTTTTGACTTTTGGCCCTCATCCTACCACACCATGCAAAGCATGACGATATACATAACGATATACATGTTTGTAACGCGTCATAATTGTCGATAGTGTTTAAAAATATCGATACGATAAATTTGAAAAAATATATTTTTTCACTTGCCTATTTACTAGAAGAAATGCAACTTACATGACAATACTGTTATCTCTCTCTTCATAGGCGCAATGTGCCGCTGTCAAAACAAACTGGTTACTGACTAGAGATCCACCACATCTCCACGCGTAGCCGCTGGACTGAAAATAACAAGTAATATAATACATTTGCTGCCATTTATAAAAATAAAAACGTGTAAAATCACACACGGCAAAAGTGAAACCTTCAGAAAAGGAAACGATATAATAGGAAACACTATACTCGTATGCTGTATTCTATCTCACTCTCTCGCAGGCAAAATCCTATAGATGTATATGTTTGTCTCTTTTTAGTATCTCTTTTTTCGTTTCATCGAGTTTCAAATTACAACGATTCTTAAGAAGTTTTCACTTCAAAAGTTTTCACGTCCTCGAGACTGAATTTCGATCACGGCGGCCGGTCTTAACGGAGACTTACTATCTCTGCACAGGATAGGATTATAGTGTAAGCGTGTGTGCGTTAGCACATTTGCCGTATAATATGACAATCTAACACGATAGGAAATAGATCAGGCGCAGGACCAACGTGTATACGTGGCAGTGCCATGCTGCAGTTATATATTAGATATAAAAAATATATATATATATATATATATATATATATAGTTGTGGCACGAATGTGTCGGCTCAACCGGGGAAACCACGCTATCACAGAATACCAGCACAAAGTAGCAGCTTAACGCTGCTGTTGTTCGTATGGTGAGTGTAGAGAACCGGAGACCCTTTTTACTGCTGGTTTCATCTTAGTTCTTACGAGTGACAACGCATCTGCATTTTGATTCATAATCGAGGATAGATGTAGATGTCTATGGGCTACAGCAACCACTTACCATCAGACGGCCTGTGTGCTCGTTTATCACCTTATCCTATAAAAATAAAAACACTTTACGTGTTTTCCAAGGTACAAGGTTCAAAATGAGTCAACATCTTAACACTGGGCTGCTACTGAGAATTGGATTCTCAAAGGATTTTTTTATTTCCTTGTCTAGGAGGAAATAGATTTCCCATCCTTCGGACATTTCCCACGGTCATCTCTTAAAACGTCCACAGGCCGAAATAAGGTGATGAAGGGGCCTACTGAATGAGTAAGTGTGTTTGCCTCTCGCACACCATGATTGCATGGCTTCATCATATATTGTCATCTCATAAATGGTAAACTGTTTAATTTGGGAGAATATCCATAGTTTTTTTTATAGAAGTATGATGTCAAACGAGCACACACACTTTTTTATGTAATAGGGGTGACCAACGAGCCTGATCCAGTACGGGTATGTCGGGCTCTATCAACTAAAACCCCATGGTATTCCACCACTGATAACGGCAGGGCCACGGGAACGCTCAGCCCACATCCACGGCACCACCAGCGCCACACCATGAGAGCTCCTTCTTGGGGGAGGACTATTCTTCCCCATCTCCTCAGATAAGACGCACCAGAACACATGGTCAGATTCACCTTGGAATTTAGAAGTCCTAGACCAACATAGGACCAGCCTGCATGTATGTCGAATAAAAATATTTCAAGGTCATGTAAAGTCCGCCATCAAGAACAGGAGCAGCGTAGGAGATTAATTTCTCTATAACCCTTGCAGAGAAGAAAGGATTATACCCAGCATTACGACGTATACAGAAATATTTTTCAATGATCGGCCAAATTTGCAGAGCAGGTTCAGAATAAGTTAAGCTCGTCACAATACGTGGGTTTTCTTAATAATAAGCATAATAAGTGAGTTCGCGGTTTGACCGCGATAACGGCAAAAATGGGCCCAAATTACAGGAATGATTTACTCGTATTTTCAAATCAGACATATAGGGAGTGGTATTCTAAAACAATTTATGGTGAGGTATTCTAAAAAGTTTTTTGATTTTGAAAATAATACAATTTACATAAAATCATTCACATATCAAATCCGTACAAAGATGGTCATAGTTACCTATCTATACTGGATGATCGTTTTTTCTATCTGGAAAAAAATAGGGTGTAACATGTGAACATGTAACATATGGCACTGATGTTTTACAAAAAATAAAAACAAAAATTTTGAGTTAAATAAATTAATTAATTAATATCTATCGAAATTATAATCATATCCACCCTAGCCTGTGACCGTGTGAAGGGACAAGGTCAAAGACACCTATTATAATATAATAATAATAATTTATTAAAAACTTTAACTTGTAGTACATATAAAAAAAATCTTACATGAGATACATTACAAAAATACTAGTAAGGGTGACGTTCTGTTCTCCTTGCTAGACTAAGAAATAGCCTGTATTAAGGAGATTCAGTCCCTTACCCCCTTACAAAAGTGATCAGAAAGCAAAAATTGCTCTTAACTTTTTAGTACTACAGATTTTGTGTGTGTGTGTGTGTGTGTGTGTGTGTGTGTGTGTGTGTGTGTGTGTGTGTGTGTGTGTGTGTGTGTGTGTGTGTGTGCGTGTATGTGTGTGTGTGTGAGAGAGAGAGAGAGTGCGTGTGTGTGTGTGTGACCTCATAATATAATTATGTTAATATAATATAAATTAGTTAGTTAATAAGTACTGTTCTGTCTCTTCATAACTCTTGTTTATAGTAGGAAGGAGTACACGGCTTTCTTACATTTGTAATTAGATAGTTCATAAATAGAAATATTAATAATGATCTTATTATAAAGAAAGGGACCGAAATATGAGAAAAACCTTTTAGCAAAATGAGAGGAGACAGTCGGAATACTGTAGATTTTGTCCTTACGCCTCTTGGTAATTTCGATATAAGGAACCTTACGATGTTGTAACATCACTGTATGTAGTATAAACAATTGTCTTACATTAAGAACGTTGTGATCTTTGTAGAGCTGAATTGTCGGGTATAATATGGGTCGAAAGGCCATAATCTTTAAAATTGATCTGTGTGCGATTTCTAAAGGTTTCACCCCAACATGAAATGCAGTAAGATATGATAGAAAGGCAAAGTGCAAAATAAACGTTGCGTATGATACTCTGATTAGTGACGTGACGAAGTGATTTGAAAATAAAGATTAATTTACGGACTCTGTTGGTTAAATCTTCAATGTGGACTTTAAAATTTAGGGTTTTATCTATAGTTATGCCAAGATATTTGACTGTGTCGACCGAATTAACAAGGGGACAGCGGCAAGCTTGTTGATATTGGTAATGGCATGAGTGGGCTATTAATTTTACTGGAATTTTAGGTTGTGATTTTGTAGAGATAGAAAAAGCAACGAATTTAGTTTTTGCTGTGTTTAAAGTAAGGGTGTGTGCACGAAGCCAATCATATGTAATATTAAAGCCACTTTGCGCAATTTCTTGGAGTTCAGTCCAAGTACCTGCAAAGAAGGTAAGGGCGGTGTCATCAACATATGAAACTATCTTAGAGTTATTGACTTTAATATTACAGAGGTCGTTAATGAATATCAAGAAGAGAGTTGGTCCGAGTATACTACCCTTGGGCACACCGTAAGATATAGAAAGTTCATTACTTGTATAGTTGCCTATCTTTACCCTTTGAGTCCGATCTGAAAGGTAGCTACGGAAAAAATCAAGTTGAGAACCCCTGATACATATATTTTCTAGTTTTAATAAGAGAGTATTGATGGGAACCGTATCAAAAGCCTTAGCTAAGTCCAAGAATATTGTAAGGACTTTTTTGTTGTCGTTAAGCTTATTTACAACGAAAGTAGTTAATTCTTGAATAGCGTCAGAAGTGGATTTATTTTTACGAAATCCAAACTGTTGGGAAGAGATTATATTACAGTGCTCCAGATACTTTGCTAGTCGCCTGTTGACAAAACGTTCCAAAACCTTTGATAAAGCACTAAGCACCGCAATGGGGCGATAATTATTAATGAGATTCCCATCACCACTCTTGAAAATTAGATGGATGATAGCCCTCTTGAAAGAGGTAGGAAAGACAGAAGATTCTAGACAGAGATTATAAATATGGGCTAGAATAGGTGCGAGAATAGGGGAGTATCGTTTTAAAAAACTCGGTGGAATTTCATCCCATCCGGTAGCTGCATTATGTTTAAGCGAATTAATAAGTAATTTAATTTCATCAGTGTCCTTGCATTCTAAAACAAAAGATGACAGATTAGATTTTACTAGGGTGGTTCCTTTTGGTGGAACTGCGCAATTGCTGGTGTTTTTTTGCGCTAGCTCCTTTCCGATGTTGATAAAGAATTTATTAACGTTATTACACGACTGAATTGGTGAGATAGAGGATAATAATTGCTGTTATTGTATTTATTGTTTTATGACCGTTCGTAAATTAGGAAGGATATGATATGAATTTCGATATTTTTTAATTAATCAATTTATTTAATCTAATTTTCTTATTCTTTGTGAGATATCAGTGCCATGTTCACATGTTACACCCTATTTTTTTCGAGACGGTAAGAAAGGTCATCCAGTAAAAACAAATGGTGAAGAAAATTTAACTTTAAACATTCTGTCTTTTTTATCCTTTATATGAAAAATGCATGATAATGCATTAATTTATCTGATTTTACTGCACACACACACACACGCGCACACACACACATCGTAAGGGATGGCATGGACAAACAAACACATGTTGCCTAAATCACATTCTTGGATAATTTCAAATAAAAGTAGAAGCTTTATTTACTCGTATTTTCAAAAACTACAATAGATATATCATTATTTATATATTTGAACTTAAGTTTTAAATATGACTAGCCTTTGATAAATGACCCTGTATAGGCTACAATTTTACTTACCCTGTTTAAACAAAATACAAAGATAAATATAATATGGATATATTACAATAGTGAAAGTTTACCGGGTAGTGGCGGTGTAAGAGTATCCACTACTCCATATACCAATCTGCAGATGGGCAGCAGCGTTTTCCTAATAACACCTCTTCTGCTCCGTGGCGGTGTAACTTAGCAATGGGTTGTGGCGCTGATGACCACGGGTTCGAATCCCGCACGGATTTTTTTAAACTACAATTTTTTTTGGAATTAAAAAAAAACGTTACCCCCCCCCTCCCCCCCAATACTAGGATTTTCTTCTGTATCGTGGAGGCAGTTTACAAACATAAATTTTACAGAGACAAACATCCAGACCCGGAACAATTACTTGTAGGCCATACAAATACTAGTTCCGTGCGGGATCCGAACCCGTGGCCCTTAGCGCTATAACTCATTGCTAAGCTACTGCGCCACGGAGCCGTCAAGTATTTGTATGGCCTCCAATAATCCGGGTCTGGATGTTTGTCCTTGTGAATTTATGTATATAAACTGCCTCCACGATCAAGAGAGAAGTTCAGTGTGTAGGTAAAGTTTTTAAAAAGAAAAAGACTTACCTGCAACTTTAACCAGCCAATCAGCGCCATGTGGGGAAACTCCTTTATAGACACAACCTTCCCTCCCACCACGAGGGGGATGTTAGAGGGCACACAGGAGGACACGTTAATCTGGACAGGCTCTGGTGACGGCACTAGAGGAATCGCTTGGAGTTGCTTCGTGTTCAGATTCTTGTATTTGTCGCACACTGAAAAGTCAAATCGTTACTTTATTTTAAAGTACACGAAGATAATTGTCTCAGTTTAAACGCGCATCCAACGTAAGTAGTGTGAATGTTATGTTCATCATTTGGTCATTGCGCTTTTATGTGTTGAAAATTGTGAACAACACCTGGATCGTGTCGATCGTCTATAATCCAAAACGACCATAAGCCGCCACTCAAGCAGGCCAATACTTTGGCCAGCATATAGCTGGCCAAAGTATTGGCCTAAACCATTGGCACATGACCATGGGAAAAGGATCCTTTACCTGTCATACTTGGTAGGTATGTTGACGATGATATTTGCAGACGTGTTGTGTTACCGTTTTAGGTATTTTATGATTGCTATGATATATTATACGTACTATATATAACGTAGTATATTTTTAAGTGGTAGAGCAATGTTTCAACTAAATTATGGTGGTAGCATGAATGGATCGACTTGACCGATAACGGACCACGATCTCACAGAATACCAGCGTAAAATAGCAGCTTAAGCTGCTGTGTTCGTATGGTGACTGAAGAGAACCGGAGACCATTTTACTGGAAATAACGCATTCCATTTTAGTTTATGTCTATTGGCATAATCCACTTAACATCAGGTAAATTGTATGCTCGTTTATGACCCTTATTCTATAAAAAAACCAAATTAAAAACAATCATACTTCTCTCAGACAGTTCTACGTATCGCCTTTTTTCAACATCACTCATATTGTCTTCATCAGGTCCAATAATCAGTTCTGATGAAATTCCCGTGTCGGCTGGAAATTTTACGGGGCCTGCTTCTATTGGTTTTGGGACTTCGTATATCGGTTTTCTGGTTGGTGGTTTATTCGTGATGGGAGGCTGTCTATCATCAACTGACGCTGGTCTGACTCCAGGCCTGTTGTAGAAAGGGGTTTGTGTGGTATACGCGTTATGATTGTTGTTCTTAGATCCTTTGTTGTAATTGTTGTTTTGCTGACTGTTGTAATTTGGTCTCGTGCTACTCTCGTAGTTTGGTCTTGTGGTGTAATAGTCCGTGATAATTCCTTCGTTGTATTTCCTCTTATCACTTCTTATGTTTTCGTTATTAAATGCGTTCTGTATTACAACTGGTTCATTAAAGACTGTTCTTGTAGATCCACTGGTTCGACTGTTTCCTCTAGAAACTTCTTTCGGGGCACTTGCTACTTCTCTAGCTGATGTTCTTGACGAACCGCGAGATGGTGCTTTAGGACTTCCAATTGTATCTATTGTCTTATGACTAGTATTATTTTTAGTAGTTTTTCTACTAGGTTTAGGAGTAGAAAATAAGTAGGAGGTATCAAAGTCTGGTGCGGCAGTTTGCTTTTGCTTCTTTCTTGGATCATCTCTTGCCGAACCATCATCGCTGAAATTAATAGAACTTTCTCTGTTACTGTGGTTTGCTTCATTGTGGCCGGTTGTTCGGTGCCTGCTGGCTGTTTTTGGTCGTTTTGTCGTGTATCTGTTGTCGTAGGTGGAAACCTCCGCGAAGGTGGGGTAAGATTGCACCAGAGGCTGCAATGCTTGGAACAAATCTGTAGAAAAAAAAATTAATATTTAATATGTTTTACATTCAATCGTTACAATAAACGAGACAGTCAAGACAGGCCCAGGTCGGACTAACATAAGTCATCATCAGCTTGAGCAGCCTAGAGTGAGGAATTGAGATGTGTCTCTCTCGTGCCTCGGAAGCATGTCTTCCGAGACACTCCGATCCTGTTGGATAGATGTCCCTTTGGACTATGAGATTGACGGAATAAAGGCATCCTTCATGCCCTCAATCTTATGAGCCAATCTGTGTTTGCGCACACACTCTTTTCTTATTATTACTAAACTAGGCTCACCCTTGACATCCATCTGGTACGAGGGCAAAGATGAGGTCTACTATGGAGATAGTTTGCTCAGGAGAAGCCTGCTAATACGTATCTTGAAGAGGTCCACGTTATAAGCATTCGGAAAAAACAGACGCTGGCAGGGAATTCCACACCTGGCTGTGCGCATTATGAAAGATGACCGTGCTTAGTGCGAATATACGGAATATTAAACAAGTGTGGATGGTAACCTGCAGTACGTCTGGTATTCCGATAGGAGATCTCGTACACTATAATCCTGTCCTACATAGATAGACAGGTTGCAGAACGAATCAGTCGACTCATTCAGGGAAGGAGCACACTCTCACAGAATTTCAGGGTAAAATAGCAACCTAATGATGCTGTGTTTCATATGGTGAGTATAGAGAACCGAAGACCCTTTTAACTGGAAACTAAACATCATTGGTGTAAATGCATGTGCATCAATCTACGGGGCACAGAATTCACTTACCATCAATTGGACTGTGCGCTCGTTTGTAACGATTAAGTGCTGTTTTTCGATCTAAAGGTTATAGAGAGATGTATAATTCGCGCTTCGAAGCATTTCATTTTTTTCCTCATGAGTAACGACTTATCTGTAGCCTTCTTTGCTCGAAGTTGGCTTTAAGTATCCATGGATTGTGGCATCTATTTACCAACAGGGCGGCTGAGATACACTGGTGACAGATAGCGGCGTTAAAAGTTCGAGAGGTTGTTGCGTGTGCTGATTGAGGCAAAGTCTCCCAAAATGGAACAGACTCCTGTCCAGCATTGGAATTTTACCAGCCAGTGAAGAGACTATCACTCATACGAGAACAGTCTCAAAGCATTGTCCCAAATAAAAGTTTAGTTAAACTCCAGCCTATTATTGTACTGGATGACCTTTTTTACCGTCTGGAAAAAATAGAGTGTAACATGTGAGCGGAGTAGAAGTCTATGTCACTGATATTTTACAAAAAAAAAATAAAAACAAACATTTTGAATTAAATAAATAAATTAAAATCTATCGAAATTCAAATCATATCCACCCTACTTTATGAACGGCAGTAAAACAATAAATTAATTTATTAAGCATCTTTGAACTTGTCGTTTCGCAGGGTCACAGGCTCAAGAGCAAAGGGCAATGTAATTGTTCAAAAAATTTTTAAACGTTTAATTCAAAATTTTGTTTTCATTTTTTGTAAAATATCAGTGCCATAGGCTTCTACTCCGTTCACATGTTACACCCTATTTTTGTGCAGACTCTAAAAAAAGGTCACCCAGTATACTTCACTCCTGGGTCTCATATCATTTCTAGGTATTTCTTAAATTAAAAATTGTTAATTAAACTAAAAATAGATATATTTTTGACAGAACGAACGTATTTTATCAAATAACAAACATTAATGAATATAAAAAGACCAATAATAACGTAAGAAATTATAAATTGAAGTAGGGGAGGGGCTAACAGATTTTTTAATTAATTTTTATAAACAAATTATTGACAAACAAACAATTATTGATAGAGAACAAACAAGAACAACCACGAACTAACGATATGTGATAACGAAATTTGAAAAACAAAAAAATAAAATTTTTCGGGCAGCTAGCTTCAGTGAGCCGAGCTATGGAGTGTTAAGTTCTAGTTCTAGTGTTGCCATTTTAACGCTTTCAGTGTTACATCTAATGCTTTTTTGATTTGACTGACAAACTAACTGGCTCCAAGATCGTTTGTCACTTAAGTTTTAATAAAAAAACAACTTTATAAGTCAACTTAAGACGATTGTGAGGCTGTAGAATTTCATACAAAAAGCGATTACGTTGTTAACGTAGTCTAATTTGCATAATTTTTGAAAATGTAGATATAATGGAAAACTAGATTCGTACTTTTTTATTTTAAAGAAATATTCCATACTATATAAATTATTAACATCTAAATATCTATATTTTTTACTTAAAAACTTCCTGGAGCGTTTTAATTTTTTTATTTAACTAAACTTACGTGGTAGAGCCATGCTGCAGTTATATTAGTAGTATAGTTGTAGCACGAATGGGTCGGCTCGACCGGGGAAGGACCACGCTCTCACAGAATACCAGCGTGAAATAGTAGCTTAATGCTGCTGTATTTCGTATGGTGAGTGTAGAGAACCGGAGACCCTTGTTACTGGAAATGAGGCATTCCATCTCAGTCCTCGCGGGTGACAACGCATCTGCATTTTGATTTGTAATGGAAGATAGATGTAGATGTCTATGGGCCGCAGCAACCACTTACCATCAGGTGGACTGTGTGCTCGTTTGTCACCCTATTCTATAAAAAAAAACTCAATTACTAAAAAAGAAAAAAGATACAGACCTACATTAAGTGTAATGAATCTAGAGACAAAAATTGTCTCTGATATTGTCTGATGACTCATAAAAGATAACAGTGAATCTGTTATACTCACCATAAAATTGTGCACACACGCCCGTACTTAAGGCGAAGAAAACGAACGCTGCAAAATAGCTGCCCCGAGCCATCTTGTCATTTTATATATCTGAAAAGAAAGGAATTTGCTTAGTCGTCAGCCATCGCAGTATATCGAGGGTGGTGTGCATAAATAAGACTAGAAATGACGCAAAATTTTCCATAATATACAAATATACAAAAAAAAAATCAATAAAATAATTTCCGTAGTTAACCATATGTTATGTTTTTAAATTTGCATTTTATTGTACAAAAAATGCATTTTTTTTCACGGATCGTGCAATGTGTTGCGACTACTATGTTTAGAATTTATAATTCAGCTTCTATGCCTCAACAAATAACAATTTTAAACGTTTTTATTATATTGTCTGTCTGTCCAGGTTAGTTTTCGAAATGGCTGAACATGTTGTAATGAAACTTTACGAACAAATAGAAAGCAATGCTATTCGTAGGAGAGATCTACGCCATATCTTGAATGATTTTTGATTAAACGAAAAATTGTTAAATTAAATTAAATTCTGATTATCTGAAACCTAAATATAGTACTCGTAACGCCAAATAAATTACAGATTTGTTTTTTTTTTGATTTTCTAAATCTTAAGTATAAATTATATACTGAGTGTTCCAAATTATGCTACAGTATTCTAGGATGCTCCTAACATAAGCGTAATACAGTACTTTTAGGCAACACACTATGTCTGAGAAGGGACGACTAACACGCAATACGAAACCAAGGCTTCTGTACGCTTTGTTTTTAATAATTTCTGTATGATTACAAAATGTCAACTTGCAATCAATGTGAACACCAAGATCTCGAACACAAGCCGATTTAGCAATTTTAACATTATTATTATATGTATAATTATAAAAAAAAAAAAAAAAAATATATAAATATATATATATAATTTTTGCGAGTAAACGAGATAAAAGAACATTTATTTATATTTATTCCAATTCGATTATCAGTATAATATTGTTCTAGACGGTTAAGATCAGATTTGGCGTTACGAGTATTATATATAGCGAAGACAGGGCTTAGCTAGTACTTACATGATTTTTTTTTCATTTTCCTTTGTCCCATCTATTTGTTTATTAGATCTATATCTTACTTGCGCTCTAGCTATAACGGTCGGTCACAATTTCATACAATCAGTTGTAAGTAGACAGCTACCGAAGGTAAACATTTAAGAATAAACTATTTGTTACTGTCGTCTCTATAATGTAATGTTCGAAAGCTTCCCCGAGGTAAAAGATAAACAGTTCATAATAACTTTGGTTAATGTGTCTCTCATAAGCGTTTTGTTCTTTCTTCGATGTGAATTGCGTCACGTTTTAAAATAAAATATTGTGATGTATTTAAATTATTATGATTATTATAAATTGTTTGTTCCTCAAATCACTCTCTGAGAGATTCTTCAAAGCCTCAGAGTCCCACTCAAATTGCCTCATTCGCGAGGCAGCTGCATATGCAGCCCCTCTTCGCATTCGCTATAGTGTGCGCAGGCCGAGAAACTCTCTCGGACCCAACCAACAAGCTTTCGGCTGACCTAAACCTCAGGCATCCTGGCAGCTCAGGCCGAGCCTACTTAATTCATCTCATAATCTGCCTTAGTTAGGCCACAGATTAGTAAATAGTTTACCAACAGATACATCACTCCCATACAAAAGCGAAAATACCTAGGCTATTGTAATAGCCTACAGAATCTTAATAATAATATCTGCTGCTCGCAGCCAGAAGAAAATGTACCTTAAGTGCGCGCATGGAGAGTCGAGATTGTGTTGCCCGCCGTGCGACTCACGTGCAAACGCGTCATCGCACGAATGCGCTAGGGTTGTACATAATAATTTAATGTTGATTTATTTATTTATTTAATCTTTGTTATACACCTTATAGAGCCGTGGTAGCTCAGTGGTTAACGCTCGCTGTAAATATAACAGAACGCGAGTAACCCGGGTTCGATCCCCGCCGGCACCAATGAAATTGTTAATTGCAATTTTAAGTGCTGATTTACCACGTGCTCGGCGGTGAAGGAAAACATCGTGAGGAAACCTGCATGTCTGAGGAATAGAGATAGGATGAAAACCATTCCAAAGCTGGGATTGAGAATCTAAGATTAGTTAAGAAGGTTATAAGGATATCATAGGATAAGATGATTATTGTAATAAAACGAATGTTGCGAAATAAACATATTTTTTATTTGATAATCAAATATGGTTGAGTTTTAAAAAATTATTTATAAATTTTTTTCCTTCTCTGAATTCTCAGTTATTAAATATTATCGTTAAAAATATCTTAAATCGCGTAAATAATTTAAATAAATAATCACGAGGAAAACAGGAGCAAAGGGGAGGAAAATCAATGTATTGTAAAATTAGCAACAAAGTGCTGCCAGGCTGATTCATTATGACGTTGCTAAAATTATTTAACAATGCTTTTTCTAATTCCCACAATAAAAAGATGAATCTTTATTATAGGCTTTGAAATGAGCATATAGTGTTGTTTCGTCAACTTTAGGTTTCTCCTGTAACAAAGCATTGAAGCTAGTGCAGTTATGTTTTTTTGCACCACTTAACATAATAAATATAAATACCCTTTTTGACTTTGACACCCATTCACTGCACAATAATTATGTGGTTTCGGCATTTGGATGAGTAAGCGCGGAAAAGTAAGTGGTGCAAGCGCTTAGGCGGGCGTGCGGCAGCCCAAATGTCGGTTGTATCGTGGGCGATACGCAGAATGATATAGGCATATAACGCGTGGCCTAGAGCGAGTGACGAAGGCCTGGATAGGCACACTTCTAAGCGGCTACCGCTTGCGCCCACCTTTCACCCAAGGAGGGTCGCGTCAGTTTACGGCTTAAAGATTTGTCGCTAGATCATTAAGCCAATCCCAAAAGGTGGTGTTTGGTGGGTAAATGTCTCCACATAATCACTCAGCCGACTGCGTGGTATGCTATGAGCATTCACCACCTCCCTCCCCCGTTACCGGAGGGTCGCCCTTATTTACTTCGGGCGTAGAAAAAATGTTTTAAATTATTGTAGTTTTTGGTTTTAATATAATATTAATAAAGTTTTCGGTCTATCGGGGCTAATATTCGAAATGGATAAACCGAATTTGATGAAGTTTCACGAACAAATATATTATAATTCTAGAAGTGATCTACTTTATGTTTTACCCTCTATCCTATATCGTCCCGAGGGTGTCGTAAGAGGCGACAGAAGGAAACTGAAACAGGAGTTGGGTGTCTTCCTGATAACAACTCAAAATAATAAAAAAAACTGCGCTTGCCAACCCACATGCCAAGCGTGCCAACTATGGCAAATGCTCTCTATAAGGCAATCAGGAAGGCCTATGTGCAGTGAACCTTTGGATGGATGTATAGAAGATAATCTACCACGAGCACATGACTCACTGAGAGGTGAAATTATTAAATCAACAGTACTATGGCAAATCCGCCCTATGAGGCAATCTACGGGGGAGGGTTATGTTCAGCAGTGGACTTTTATAGAGGTAAGTAAGGGAAGGGAAGTTTACTTGTTGGTATTTTTTTTAATTTAAGATCTTTGTTGTAACTACCAGGGCGGCGTAGTGGCATCAGCGACAAATCTTTTCTATGTATGAAAATAACAATATTTATTGTCTGCGTTCCTGTTGTATTATCAAAACGGTTTTTGCGGGAAATAAAAATAGTATATCCGTTATGTTTGATAAATATCGAAAATAAAAAGTCCGGTGCGTGTTTTACGCAGATAAAATGACAACAGGATGTTGTTGATGATCTGTACGTTTGTAGGTTAGTGAACTTTTTAATTTTTTAGAAATGCACAGACCGTTAATTTTATGTGAAGTAACGAGATCGAAACCATTCTAACATATAATCGCCAAAGAGTAGGTACATTAATCACTACGTTCGTACTCACGCACAGGTTAGTTTTTAGAAGATTTAGCATATATATATATATATATATATATATATATATATATATATATATATATATATATATATATATATATATATATATATATATTATTAATATGTGTTGTAGGCACGAACTGGGTCAGCCAACCAGGGCAGGACCACGTTCTCACAAAAATAAGAATATAGTGAGTGTAGCAGTACCGGAGACCTACATCTATACTCGATATCAGGATCATTCTAATATAATATATATATATATATATATATTCTTAGCTCCAGGGCGGGTTGACAACACATAAGTGGGGTTGATCAATATAGAATCGAGGATAGATGTAGATGTCTATGGGCTACAGCATACACTTACCATCAGGTGGACTGTGTGCTCGTTTGTCACCCAATGCTATAAAAAGCCAGTGTTTGACTACAATTCCACCTGATGGTAAGTGGTAATGAAGCCCTTAATGATAAGGCGCACTGTCTTAGCGTAACAATTGCTTATTCACTCTGCCCTTGAAGATATTCACTGTAATCGAACGGAAAGACGGGCGCTGACAAATGATTTCACTTCTTTGATGTACGCATTACAAAAGGCGACGTAGGTTCCATCCTCTCACCAATTTCTACTGGCAAATATCAGACTTTGTAGGTACTGTTTCAGTGTTAAGGTACAGAGAGGTAGTATAATTATAGACTGTACATCCATCCCAATCAGCAGAGGTGAAACGCATTTCTAAACTTGTTAGTTCCAAGATGGCTGCAGGTGACCATGGACTGCATAAGTCACTTATCATCTGGTAGATTATAAGTTCGTTCGTCGCTTCTGTTTTATAAAAAAAAGGTGCAGCAAGTCATTTAGTTCAAATGCATGGAATATCGACAGTAATGGAGCGAAGGCCCGCCGACCGCCTGGATTTCTGATGGTGAAAAGGTGAGGCAGAAATTAAGGCGTGCAATTTCTGTGCAGACTGTGCAGTCTCATAGAATACCGAGAGGTTGACTAGGCCTAATACTAGGCTTTATCGATGTACTTGCCTTTGCCTTTTATAAAACTGACTAATATGACAAACGAAGTACAGTGTCACCAACTTATCTCTTCAGGTGGCCAATATTAGAACCATGGAAGTTAGAGAAAA